TTTTGAGAACAATGTTTATATTACACAACCTCGAAATTAAAATTTTAAAAAAAAAAAAAAAAAAAAAAAAAAAAAAAAAACATGTTTGTTTTTCCTTCCCACATTTTCATCAGGGGTCCGTTTGGTTGCAGCCTCTGTAGTACAGGAAGCCAGCGAGTCAATGAGATTTTCGCAACTCCTCATGTTCCTCCTGTGGTTATCGTCGGAGCTCAGGTTCCTGCAGCAACACAAACAAATCATCGTCATGGCGACTATCCATGTAAGTGTGACAAACTATTTCACTTTGCTTTTTTAATCTGCAAAACAGAATCTTTGTGCAGTCATAAAACAGTGGATGTTTTTTTTTTTTTTTTTTTTTTTTTTTTTTTTTTTTCATTTTAAACAAAAAGGTCAGAGCATTCTGTCCTCTTGATTTCCAAGAGGACAGAACGATTTCAGTCCAGCTGAGTGGAGCAGTGAGAGAATAATTCTGAATAATTCAGACGGCCCCTGCTTCGCAAGCACTCCTAAGCCGTAGGTCTAAACAAATAAAACGAGTACGAGTCACGATCTTTACGGGACATATTAAGTTTTGTCACTTCACAAGAACCGTGACATAGTACTCAACATTTCTTTGGAATTCAGATCTGTATTTCCTGCTCCATTCTCAGCAGGAAGGATGCTACCAAGTAAACGCGTTTGGCATCTCCAGGTGAACAGCATTCTTACACTTTTCAAAATCAGGTTTTCTAGAGTTCGCTTTCCTTTAAGATCATTTTAAATCAATCAAATTTTATTTGTATAGCACATTTCAGCAGTAAGGCATTTCAAAGTGCTTTACATAATTAAAATAAAAACAGCAACTAAAGTTTCCTATGAATTTACGACATGCGTTTCTGCAGCAGACGACTTTAAATATGGAGGCTGATTGGATAGAAGACGAGGGAGCTCAAGGAAGAAAAGAACAGAATAAGTGAAGAAATGAAGGAGGGGTTGGAAATTTCGAAGCAGGAACTTTTTCCGTGCTCATTTTCTTTCCACAGACCTGGAAAATACCGAAACACAACTTCCAGGTTTTCTGTGACTGTGCAGGAGTCCTCTCCAGTAGCCAGAAAAAAAAAAAAAAAAAAAACTGGTTGAATTTCCTACCGTAGGCAGGCTGTAGCGCAGAGGAAAGCTTTGGGATCAGCGATCAAATCATGCTTGCATTCTGCCTCTCCATTTATGTGAGAGAAGGGCACCAAAATCACCTTGGTGAGGACATGAAGGAAATTTTCATTAAAAAGATCCTTGATCTCATCAACTGAAGACAGATTCCACAAGACACCTGCAGGCAAGGGACATAAAAATATCATTAATGGGGTTCATCTTGGAATTCAAACCTTTAATAATCAGGTCTGTTGTTATTGCCAGTCATTAGGTCACAGTGAAACGTCTTTCTTAAATAAAACATCTCTTAAAGATTTGTTTTAAATTATTGAAGAGGAAAAAAAAAAAGAGCATTTGATCTGCTAATCGGCAATAACAATCAATGAGGAAAATTAGTCAAGAGATTGGTGCATTACCATTCACAGTGTTGTCTTCATAATTTAAAACATTGATAATTTCTATATATAATTGATAAAATCTAAATTTACGATGCATAATTGGGGAATTTTATAACAGCTCTCGCATCTTAAAAAACCCCAAAAAACCTTACACTTCTATAGCTTCTGTTTTTACTGAAAATCCACAAACACATCAGCATTACATTTCACTAATATGTTCAAATTCAAAATAAAACTATACAAAAAGGTCAGTTGGTGTGGTGATAAACTATTCCTGATGGGGAGAAATGTAAATATCCCAAAACCTGACCTGCAAGCTGGCATACGGTCTCCTTATCGTGGGTCTTGTCCAGTAAGTTCAGGATGATGGTGAGGCCATTCTCGTCCGTCACCTCCTTCTTGTTGCCTTTGTCCTTGTAGACGACATTACGCAAGGCCGCTGCTGCGGCGCGCTGCACCTCTTCGCTGTCGTTTTTGAGCAGCTGCACGAGCTTTTTAGCCCCATGCGCCCAGCGAACCTGAAACCAAGAGAACCCGATGAGCTAACAAATGTCGACATGGAGAGACTGCGCCTCCTTAAAGCTGCTAAAGCTTCGCCAGGCGGATGATGGAGAAAATGTTCCCAGATTATTTATTCTGAGTAAACCTACCTCAAATCTGGCTATGTCTTTTTTAAAACATTGGCTCTGAATGTATGCGGCGGCACTGATCAGCTCTTTCTCATTTTTCTTGTCCAGAAGCTTTACGGCCGTTTTAATTGTCATCTCTGGAAGTTTTTCAGCTGATTGCCTAGGCGAGAGGTCACATTGTTTTTCTTATTTTATGGGACGGCTCCACAAAAAGACAGGCATAAAATGCTTGGTGTGAAAGTAAATCTTACTGTGCTCGATTCTTCATTGTCTTTACATCCTGTCTGTTGGTGAACCTGTTGGTGAACCTGTTGGTGCTGATGGACCTGCCTGATTCCCATCTCTGGGATATTTGAGCCTGTTGGGGTAAACCTCTGTCCATGTGGGTGGATCTAAGCCACTGTACCATTTGTGTACCAGGTTTAACATAACTGTGTTTCTGACTCTGTCCATTTCTAAGGCTGTCCCGTCCCGCCGCGGATCCAGACGGATTCTTTGTTCTTACTGACTGAGGAGTGAGCGAGTTGGTTCTGGACTTCCCAGGTGGATGCGTGGATGCTCGGGTGGGTGCGCTGGGGGACGATTCAGAGACAGCGGATTGGTGCAGTAGATGCACGCGGTCAGACCAATCTACCAGCACACATACAATCTGGTCCATACCGGCTGTTGGGGACATGGACATTTTCTGAGGTTGGGTGCTTTTTGAGGAGAGGTTGTCCAAATTATACCCGTTTCCCTTTAAAACAAAATTAATTACACAATTAGTAATGTTTAAGACAGCAAAAGTTTCCAAGCATTTACCTTTTTCCCAATTGTTTTTTTTTTTAAATAACTTTTCCAGACTCAAATTTCAACAGTTGCGTTTTTTTTTTTTTTTTTTTTGTAATACATTTCCAAACGCACAACAGTCACATCAGTGCATTTTGAGGGAACAACACAGAACGGTGTGTAATCATGAAGTGGGGAGGGAGGAATCAAAAGGTTTAAACACGGTTTTTAAACTAAAAATGTAAAATGTTGCTGAGCATTTGCATCGACTTCCCCTTTATTCTGATACAAAAGCTAGAGAAAAGCAACTTCCCCTTAGAAGTCAGCCAATGAGTAAATACAATCTACTGGCATGAAACTAAATGTTGGTACAGATCCAGTTGTTTTGTGGAGGTGCCAGAAATTTAGGATCAGACAAGAGTCATGAAAACCAAGATGGAAAGATAGTAGGAGTTAAATTTGTCTTATTACAGGCGTCTCTTGCATGTGTTTGGATATTTCTCACCTCATAAATTAATTTTGCTGCTTAAAAAAAAAAAAGACTTTACCGCTTAACATTTTTTTTGGTAACAATAACTGAAAAACAAACAAACACATGGTGTACAGTTTTTGCACTAAAATCCACTTTAAGTTCAAGCATTCGTTTCTGTATTTTCCTATAAACAGGAGTTGAGTTTTCAATACAATAACGGTGATGAAAACAAAAACTATATGCACTTGTTTAATCTCACTTGGACTGTCTGCCTGTGTTATTGTACTGTGTGCAGCTGAAGGTAAGAACACTGATTCGTCGGATTGGCTTTCAGGAAGTGAGTGTAAAAAACAAAACAAAACCCCAGCAGCATCACAGATTTGTGTAAATTCAAATTCAGGAGTATAACATGTAAAGCGTAGCTACAAATTCAGATAGCTCATTCTTGTTATGAACAGGTCACAAAAGTGTTTTAGCCAGAGGTGTGACGGTGTGTTTTACCTTTGTGGAAGAAGGAGATCTATACAAGCTCCTGATTGAATGTTGTGAGTCGTCTCCCCCTGAAACAAGTCCAAAAGAATCCTTTATAGAGTATTCAGTTCAACATGGTATTTACCAAATCGATGGCAACACTTCCTCCAGTCAGGGTGATTTTTTTTTTCCCCAACCCGAGTTCATCAATCCTCGCTCAGAAAATCTTTTTAAGCTGCTAAACAAACATCATGTCAGTCGGCATAAAGATAAAAAGAAACAGTAGTGACTAAATAAAAAAAAGAGCAGGTATTCAACATTGTGACTCTTTTTTCAGCATACACTTTATTTATAAAATTTTGAATATGTATTATATGATTTCTTCACATACGAGTGTGTATAAAAGCTTTTAAAAATGAATAAAACTGTTGTATTATCACTCTTGTGAAAACAAGTTCAAATGAGTCTTTCAAACCAATGGTAACGTAACATTAATGCTCATGATGGATGGGTGCTATAATCTCACCGTTATTGTTGGTCCTTTTCAGATACCCAGAAAACCGTAGAATCACCTTTTTTATTGTTTTTTTTATGCATGAGAAAAAAAAAAATCTTTACTGTTCTTACACAAATCACGGTTCAAGACTACACCCACAACATAAACTAAAAATGTGTGTAAATGAAAACAGTGAAACTGACAGGAAAGTAAAGTTAATGATAGGATTTGCTGCAGAACAACAGGAATCTGCAAATTAACCTGGAATTTAAGTGGCATTTAGTTTCAGCGGGTGGAAGAGTGAATTGTGATTCACGTTTATGAAACTGAGCGGGTTTCCTTTCATGACTCTCTGGTGAGTCAATTGTCACAGTACAATAGGATGAGGTAAAACATTCCTGCAGACTTTTAGTTCCAGAGAAAATGCCCAAATGACCTAGGTTCTTTCAAATTGAGTTTGTTTCCACAACTGTTGACTCTGTGTGGACTTTAACTCGGTGAAAACGAAAAAAAAAAAAAAAGAAAAAAGAAAAAGAAGCTTGGCTTGAAGAGTCAAGAAAGGAACTGGTAATTTCATTTATTGAGATAAAGAAGGTATTTAAACCTACCTGACTGTGTGTAAACAAAATGCGTAATAGCTGGCTTTGCTAGCTGTTAGCAGCAACAGCTAGCATCAAATGGCCACGATAACTGGCAATGGCTCTTTTGCATCGCTGCGATTTGAGTGATGGGAATTTGGATGCAGGCTTATAAACACTAAACTCGCTTCCTTTTCTCCCACTGGTGAGTCAGTTGTCACAATCTAAAAGTATGAGGTGCATTTCTCCAGATAAAGCTCCGTAGAATATGCCCAATTAGTGGAAAAAATGTTCACTTTAATTATGTGTAATGTAGGCTAAACTTCCTGTGGTTTTATCAGCCTTGAGGCGGATCGATGAAACTGCAGGAACCTGTTGGACAAGGGACCTACTGTTCAGCAGGTATTCCACTCAGGAGAAAAATAAATTACCTGAGCCTTCACTAGGTTACAATAGGAATGTATTTAAACGCAATTAGGAGGTAAACAATGACTAATTAACAAGAATAATACATAAATATCCGTGCAGCTTGGATGTGAAACATTAAATGATTTGTTTGCGGGGGGAAAAAAAAGGTTGTCGGAGTTTATTTTTTAGTTTAAAAAGAGAGGGTGAGAGGTAAATTTAGCTTTGTCTGCTTCGCAGGGGAGCGAGGGCAAACATTGTTAAATTCAAACAAAGAGGTCTGTTGTGTGTTTCCTTTGGTTTTTTTTAAATATTACTATGAAACGTTTAAACTGAAATTTAAAATGCCAATATTACCATTGGAGACACCATTCTTTCGCAGTGAAGGCTGAGTCCGGTTCCGAGCCGCTCCCGTCATGTTGGATTTCGGAGTCGGTTCGGTCGGAGAAGCCAGGCTGGTGTGCTGCTGGGAGAGAATCTCAGACCGCCTCAACTTTAGCTTCTTTTCCATTACGGAGCTCTTTCAGTGTTCCCTGTAGTCCTCATGCAGGATAACGAGCACCTTCGCTGGATTAACGAGCTCTGCTTTGTTGTGCCACCTCACCTGAGTAGACCAGCCAGGTGGCGGTGCGGTGGGCGGGGCTTAACACGCACCTGACGTGTCCGGTGTCGCCACTCCATAAAACAAACAAAACGGCTATGAAAACAAAGCAAACAAAATATACATGTATAGAATTTAACTTTGTAACTCGCATTTATTTATGTATTTTTTTCCTCTCTCTTTATTTTAGTTTTTGTAATTTGTTTATTTTTGGGTTCTGTGTATTGTCTTGATTTTTTGGATGTGCAATGTTTTTTCCAAGGTCGCTCACCCACAATTAAGGAAGAGGATTGGGGTCACTGAAAGAAAAATAATATTAACAATTCTGACTTTAATGTCAGATTAAAGTCAGAATATTTTTTTTTCAGTGGCTGTAATCCTCTTCCGTATGCAACAGAGGTAAAGTTCTAAATAAAGTTAAAAAAAAAAAGAAAAAGAGGTTTGACCTGTGACGAAATGATGACACCCCAGATTTAGATTTCAGAGATATGAACCCTAAAACGATAACATGACTGAATAATTTCACAGCTCTATTATTTAACTACATATTATTTAAAAGTCTGGATTGGACGAGTCAAGGCTTTTAAACCAAACCAGACTATGCTTAAAAGCTAGGTCAATGGCTCCATCATGCTCAGGAACAGACAGTATATTCAGAATTTAAAAAAATATATATACATATTTAATTAAATGCTTAGTTTGAAAATTTCTTTTTTTAAAAAAAAGTGATTTTAAGTGTTTAATATCACAACACAGCCTCCAAAATGAATGAACACTCAACAGTTGGAGTTAAGTTGTTCTTCCTTTAATGCAATCTCTTCCTTCCAGCCCAGGTCCCTTTCACATTGAGCTTCACAAAACATCATGATAAACAGTAAGAACACTTTCATTTGCCTTGATTAAAAGCTTTTCGACAGGAGAATGAGACCAGATGGAAACTGGCTAAGACTTCAAACATTCAACGGCGTTTCCGCGCACGCAGCCGACTTCGGGCAGAATTAAACCACCAATCAGATGGTGAAGAATACAGCCTTAAAAGGCTATAGATATATGTATATAAAAAATTGGTCTTTAAGAAATAAACCTTCATGAAACATTTTAAATACTTTGTAGAAACTCATCATGATTATCTAATTTTCAACATATTGATTTTTTTTTCCCTAGTATAGCATAAATGTTGACATTTGGCACAATTAATTTTAAATTCACCCCTTGTAATAAATATGTACACACACACACACACACACACACACACACGCACGGACAGAGACAGCAGTAGGTGAAGCCAAAGCTTTATGACAGCTCAGACGACCTGGGTGATGTTTACAAAGAAGATTATGTGATGAAAACAGAACAAAGTGATCATAAAAGAAAGAAAATGTCTGGAAAACAAGTCCAAAGTTGACCGTATTAAACGGTTTGGTCTGCCAGTGTTGGAAACGCAAACACATTTCAGGTTGTAGACTTAAAGTTAAAAAAAAAAAAAGAAGAAATATAAATCAGATTTTTTTCAAAATTTCTCAAAAAAAAAAAAAAATTTTGTTTTTTCAATTTTAAAAACAATCATTTTAGCCTCAACATAAGATGGGACTTCCTATTGTATGCTGTTTGAGTGAGTGAATGAAAAACTAAAATAAAATAAAATCAAATCAAAGAAGTCCTCAAATTAAAAAATAACCTCATGTTTTCTTACGAATGAGACAACACTCTCCTTTTCCAAAGCCTTCACATCATAAACACCCACGCACTGTACACGAGCTGTTTGTGCATCATTTTAAAAATATAGAAAATATTAAAGAGGTACAGGTTAAAAACACATTTTACAACGCCTCTTGAAGTTATTTACACACACCGAGCGTTCATTCAGCTGTCGACGCAAAAGGTAGGGAGGCGATTTTCATACAGGTCATGTTTCCTCTTTCGATTTTCCATCGGTTTACAATTTACATGTTGCAGAAAATTCATAATAAATCTGGATTTGACACTGTGAAAGCGTTTTCACAAACTATAGGTGCGTTTCGACTGCAGGAACCTTTCCAGGACAATTGCGCCTCCCCTCCGTTTCCAATGCTTTTACCAGAATAACACATGATTACTGTATATGCCGACTCCCACAAACATCCTGGCTGAGGGGTAGTAAATTTCCATTTACCCCAAACCGCTGGAGGAAGATTCCTCCAACTTTGATTCTACTAATTGTGAAGTAATCACACTTAGCGGGTCTTAAGCACCTGGACCAATTTGTTTTACATTGTAATCGCTGCCAAATAATCTTCAGTTATGGTATTATTGGGTAAAAAAAAAAAAAAATCTTTTAAACAAGAATGACACCAGAAACGTACAAAAAAAAAAAATCCATGGTGACAATGTTATGGGAAATTAAGTTCAGGGTATCATGTGAGGGTTAGCATTTGGCGACTTTTTCTCAGACCAAATTAAAACGAGTATTTTCTTTCACTTTTATATATTCTTTTTTCTTTTTGTGAGAAACCAATGCCATTTTAAAAAAAAAAATCAGTAATCAAATACAGGGAGATCCTTTTTTTTTTTTTTACTCAATCACTGCTTTGAAGTATGAGGAAAAACACTGAAAGAGCAAACAAACATGCTAAAGATATTTCATACAAGTCCTCCTGTTTCATATAGAGATGCACCGATCAGACATTTCCTGGCCTCTACAGATGCAGATTTTTTTTTTTTAAAGGAATAAAACAAATATGCCTCACGCTTCCTAACAGCAACAATAAACTACCCAGTGCCTAAGATGGCCTCCGATTCTCCTCTCGGGGAGGTAAAGGGAAATTTCACAGCTTTTCTGGCATCTGGGTGTAATTTAGGTCAGGCTCGTTTTACAATCTATACAACATCTCCATTTGTCAAATGCAAACTCAATTATGCAACAGTAAATACAGATTCCTTAATGGACAATTTGTCATTTCTGATTAATTTTGTTTGTTAAAAAAAAATGCTTTGATTACTCTGTTTAAATCAAAATGCAAGCAAAAAAAAAAAAACAAAGTTGTGAAATGACAGTTTTTGCACCTTGAGCAGAATCTCAGTATTTGATGCAAATACAAAAATGTTAAGAAGACAACTAATAATATATATTTATTTTTAAGAAATTCAGATTCTTTAAAAAAAAAAAAATGCAACAAGGGACAAACTTAGAACATTTCCCATACTTATCCAAACACAGAAAAATAACTAAATGAAATCCTAGTGGTGTGCTTACCTAACAAATAATTAGTTTTGATGCATTTGATTTAAAAAAAAAAAAGACAAAGAAAAAAGAAAAAGTCAGATATTTTGGTATTTCACCACAGATCAGCACCACTGAAGAAATACAAAATAGAGTCTGATTTTGATCTCTGGTCAACTGATCAGTGCATCTCCACTTTAGTATCATATAGAAATATCAATTCACTCTGGGATAAAACCAGGGCTGCAGTCTGCTCGATTTAACACTTGAGACAGAAGATGGTGTGCACACATTAGTTAGGTAACGCTGCAGGCTGAATTTTAATTAGTAGCATTGCGTCAGAAGAGGTTACCGAACAGGACGGTCGTATCCAGTTTAAGTTTGCTGAGGTAGAACGTATTGAAAACTTAAGCTTTTTTTTTTCTTCCCAAAAGTACATTTTAAATTTCATTCATGTTTGAAAAGCAATGCAGGAAAGCAGATTTGATAGCTAATTTATCTTTATATTTTGCATCTAAAAAAAGAAAAAAGAAAGAAAAAGTGGAACAAAGGGATTTGTGAACTTGAAGGTGTTTTCTTTTTAATAAATATTCATGTGTAATATATTTACCGTTACCATCGTATGTTGATGACATTACCATGGAAACATTCTGCACACCGATGTGCTGCTGGAGCCAGCTACTCTTTTGTTTTGTTTTGTTTTTCCCCACATCCCGCAAGTCGCCGCTAAAAAGGTAACCGTGACGGTTAGTGAATTAAAACATTCGTACAAAGTTTCAATAAGGCATCCCATAATTAAAGTTCATTCGCACCAGCAGTGTCCAGCATCCTTGTTTTGTTTTTTTCCCCCCTCCCCAACGCCGCAGTCTGAATCTTGCCAGCAGAAGAGACGTTTCAGTCTTTCATCACAGTCCTGCCAGCAGCTTTGGTCAGTCTCGAAGCGAGGGGGAAGAAATAATAAATACAGGCGAGCCGAGGCTCTGAGAAGCCTTTTAGATTTCATGCAAGCGACTGTACAGACTTTCTGTAAACTGTCCAAGCCGGGACAGGCGAGGCGGTGGCGGCGCGGTGAGGTCCTATCTGCAGGAGGAGCCCAGCACGGCGCCCGTCGAAGGGGCGCCGGTGGTGGTGCCGTAGTGGGGGTAGTTGTCGTTCGGAGGCGGGCTCGGGAGGATGGAGTTCCCGTTGGTGGGGGAGCAGCTGAGCTGGAGTCTCCGCAGGTACTCGGCGTGAACCGGTTTGTGGCTCTGCAGCACTTTGATGGCCTCGTCCACGGTGAACCACTCCCGCTTCCGGCCTGCAGATGGAGACAGAGGACATAAATACGTTGGGAGGCTAAACGGAGAAAAAAAAACAAAAAAAAAACAGAAACTGAGCTGCAAGAAGTAAAAAAAAAACGTGATGGATGTTTCAGTTTTGATGCGTACATTTGAACTAGACTTCTATTCCTACAAAGAACACCGTTTACGGAGACAGAAGGTGTTCTCTGGACACACTAATGCTGCCGTCTGCATCTCTGACGGTAGCGGTTTACTGCATCCATGGCCTAGATTCACAGTCACCTGTTATCACTGCTTTCCCCATTCGGTCTCCAAGCAGCATACAGGCCTCCACATAAATACAAGCCACGCTGTGTATGTTGCATAAGAAGGAAAGCTGTACCTATGTTAACCGAGTCCTCCCAGGCCTCCAGCGTCTCCGTCACAGTCAAAACATAAACGTACGTCCGGTGTTTCCGGTCCTGGTTTTGCTTTACGTAACAGGAAAAAAAAAGAAGAAGAAGAAAAAAAGACATCATAAGGATACGTTTTAGGGATTACCACAGAGTTTATTGCGTAAATAAAAGCAGATTTTAGAATCCTTTTGTTGTCTAAAAAGTGTTGCATTATTTTGTCGTTCGTTTTACAAATGTAGAGAAGCAGCTTACCTCAAACACACCGAGCAGGCGTCCCAGTTTGCCCTTCACTCCGGCCTGGGGAACAAACGAAAGGTTTTACTTTCAGCTGAAGAGACAGATTCCCTCTGCGTGTGGCGTGAGCTGCCTCTCCGCAAAAAATCAGTCATGCAAAAAAAACAGAGCATGACAAGAAGAAGAAAAAAAAAAGAAAAAAAAGGCAGCACTCCAGTATTATTGTTTTTTTTTTGTCAAAACAATAGGGATTCTGTATAAGATTAACACATCAAACTGACTCTGAATCTTATTTTTAACACTTGTGTCGTTTTTCATTAGTGTGAAAGCCTGAAAACCGTGGATCGTTGTCCTTTAAACGTCATCATTTACAACCGTGTGTTAGTCCATCACATAAATCATAAAATGTATTTTAAAAACGGATGGATACTTTTGCAAGGCCCTGTGCAAACACACAGGCTGTGTTTGATGTTGCTCCAATCGCTCGTCCCTCTTCAGGGGCCATAATGTCTAAAGGACCGTACGCAATGTTAAATGAGGGTTCCACATAGAGCACATTACATAATAAAAGCCACATTTATCATTTCTAGTGTCTTATCGCCTTGGTAGAACCCCTGCCGTCTTCTTATTGCAGTAAGGCCATTATATCTTCCTTAACGGTCATTTAATAGCTAGGATGTACTTAACACAAATCAAATAGCTATCAGGATACGGGACATGAGTCCTGCCCGCTTTTCAGCATGCTTGACAAATGTCTCCTGATGTGCCCTGATGGGTCCAGCGACGGAAACCACACGGGGGTCTCAGAAACGCCGGGCGACCCTCCAAGTGACCGAGCACTGCAGCAGCTTGGAAATCGTTTCGTCAGGGTGTGTCATGCTCCCAAACATATCGGCTCCCCTTACCGGGTAATCTAGCTAAAGCACGCAAAAGGTAATCGAGAGACTAAAGCTTCGGGTCACGTTTGTTTAATTTGCAATAAACTGGGGACAAAAGCTGGCCTCCGACTCAAAATGTGCGATTTAAAAGAAAAAAAAGAAAGAAAAAGTCTCCAGTTTTAGCACAGATCCCTGCATATTTAATAAATATAAATAAAAAAAACTCTTTAAGAAACTTATTTTTTATTGCAGAAGCATAACCTAGCACTAAAATTGCAACCCAAACCATTCCTATTAGTTTATATTTTACTTTTATAAAGTTCATTAGAGAAGCAAGGGACTTTTTAACTACATTTATGACCTTCGGTTTCTCTGAGATGTAAATATGACATATAAAGTCTTTAAGACACTCTTCAAACTGGGAAAGACAACAGTGCATAACGGCTACAAAACATCTGGCAACACAGATCTTTTATGTTCTTTTTGTCTTTTCCACTTACAAGAGAAATGGGTCCAATCACATTTATGCTACACAAAGTTAAAGTTCCTAAAATCTACTAAAAAAAAATACAAATGACTCTTCTCAGTTTAATTTATTTTACAGGACGACAACAAAAGAATATATTTACATAATAACTTAAGGCAGAATTTTTAAAACTTTTACATCTTCGCCAGGCGTTTGATTAGACGTAGAGGGTGTTTTTTTTTGTTTTTTTTTCAAACACAGAGCTGTGTACAACCATCTAGCAGGAACTCTGAGCCCTGCTTTGTACCGTCTCATACCGCGGATCCCTGCGATATTAAAAAACGAGGCCACGGGGTTTACCGACCTCCTCGAAGACTTCTCGCACCGCGGCGCCCCACGGCTCCTCCTCGGGCTCCATCCCTCCTCCAGGAACGATCCACTGATCCGGGTGCCGACTGCTGCTGACCAGCAGAACCTGGCGAAAACAAAAACGTGTTGATTAATCACAATACGTTTACTTATTCTTTTTATACCTCTACTTAAGTACAAAACTGACGCGACAGAAATAATACACAACCAAGATGCTCCTCGCAGATCAAAGTGAGCTAAACCGAAGATATTCTCAGCGTTCCCCCCCCCGTGAGGCCTCGTTAAAGGCTTGAATTACACTACTGTTGCAGTGTTCACCGATCCGAATGGATCGGATCCGCCTGTGCAGGTTTCGTGGCAGCATCCGTCTTAGGAATCAAAACTGTAACATGAGAGAATCTGCCGTCAACATCGTCACATTTGCTCCGCCGTTAACGCGGCCGATGTTTCCACAGGGGGCTTGGGTGGCAAAACGTCAACACCTGGCATCGCCAGAAGCGATATTAACTAAGAAAAAAAAAAAGGGGGGGGCAGGGTGGGTGGAGGAAAAGAAACGTAGAAGTTTCAAGAAGATGAAGCGCTTCAACTTTTAATAAGATATAATTCACATCAGTTGAGCGTAGATGTGTGTCAATGACGGAAACGTGCACCAGACAGCTTGAGCAACAGATGGTGAAATCCACCTCCACCGAGCAGCTGATCGGCAGTAATCTGCCGCAGGAGTCAGGTTGTCACTTAATCCAAACCCAAACGGGGCTTTCGCATAGCTTTCCTTACATTCTCTAATGGGATTGTGGCAGCAGTCACAGGAGGCCCTCGGATGAGGCTCCTCTCAGGGGTTGAGTCGGGGGCCGAGAGGCCAAAACCCAACCGTAAGCCGCCTCCCGCACGTGCAGCAAAAGCCCAACTCAGACACCGGCTTTCGGTGTCACCAGAAGCAGGTTGGAGGTTAGAGGGTGAAGAAGCAGAGGAATGGGTTTTGAAAATAAATAAATAAATAAATAAAATAAAAGCTGTGGTGTAGGTGCAACTCTTCCCTAATTTAAGTTAGAGGACTTGCTAAAGGAAGGAAGTGGTTTTTCGCCGACAGCAGGACACGACGTCTTCTCAGGGAGGTGAGAAGTGCAAGGTGCAACTTCACGTCCAAATTCGACCCAGTCCGGGGTCAGCAAGTTTTCAGTAGGTCTCGGGTTGGTTTTCAGAGCTTAAACTCAAATGCTCTCAATTCGTTGATACAGACATTTCCATCAAGGCTAATCTTTGAAAATAAAACCTGCACAAAAACACTTAAAAAAAGGACAAGCGTATAAACGGCAGGCAAACAGATGGACAATATGTATGGTGCAGAGCCTTACAAAGTTAACATTTTGCCACGTTACAGCCACAAATCTAGATGTAATTCAAACTTTCATCAAAGCCGTCCTGAATGTTTAAGGACAGTCTCTAGTCTCTAGTTACTTTTTTTTTTTTTTTTGCACCATTCTGTGACACATTTCCTTCCAGGGTCACCTTTTGTTTTTTTTTTTTTGTTTTTTTTGTTTAAACATCCTCACAGCATGATGCTGCCACCTCCATGTTACACACTGGTTTCTACAGTTTTCTACTACAAATGCCTGTTTGCAAGTTGGACAAAAACCACAATTTTGGACGAGGATGATACGATTCTGGATCTCGTCCGAAGCTTGCTGTAAGCTACAAACGGGTTCGCCTTCAACAAACAGCGTTGTTCTCTCTGACTGCTACGACTAATGCTTGTCCTATTGTCAGTTTCCTCCACCTGATTTCTTCAGCTCCTCCAGATGGAAGGCTTGAACAGAAATGCACTCCAATGCTTTCCCAGTTTTTATTTGTTAAAAAACAAAGACATTAATGTTCTCTCTGCTCCACAACCATCCCCCGTTTTGTTTCCCCAGACATAAAACTCCAAAAAGTAAGAAGTTGTAAAGTGACCAAACGTGGAAGGGTTCAAAATGTCTGAGTTCTTTTGTAAAGTGCTCGTCTTAAGTTTACATGACAGGAGACAGTTTTCATTATTTACCAGGACATGGAAAGTCAGTCATTTTCTATTCTTTCCCAGACTGGCTAAACATCCCCTCAGGAGCCTACAGCTTCTTCTTTATTACTGAATCTTCAGGTTTTTTTATTGGCTTAGCTGTGTCAAGATAAAATTGTTTTTTTTTCATTCCTATCTGTCCAACAATGTTAGTCTGCTGACCTGCAGCCAGCGGGGCTTAAAGGGGACGTGCTCCAAGCTGACAGCGGGGATGTATACAAAACAAAAGCCGGACGGCTTCCGGTGGCAGCGGGGACAAAAGAGATTTCTGCTCCATTTTTATGTTTTTGTTGTCACCAGAGAGGGAGTCAGATCGGTCAGCAGCACAGGATTTATTCAGACTTTGTTTTTTTTTTGTTTTTTTATGTGAATGCAGCAAAACAATTTTTACCAGAGAATGAATTTGTCTTTCTCTGAGCTTTCCCAAGCAGCAGTGGCTCACACTACGCAGGCGGCGGTTTAAAGTGGGCCCAAGTGCAAAAACAAAATAACTCGCATCATGATGAGAGCAGGGTCAACAGTCGGCCGACAGCTGAAACCTCCACACGCGTTCATAAAGAGGATGAAGACGAAGGAGAAACCTCAGAGGAATGACGATGTTTCATCAAAAACCACCGGCGAGCCAGATTGTCCTGAACATGATTTAAATCCCGCGCGGGGGCTTTAGAGTAAGAGAAGAGCTGGATATATGAATAAACCCAGGCGATGACGGCGCCAAAAACGGACAACCGGCACGAATACTCCGGCGGACATAAACACGTCCTGCTTCTCCCTAAAGAGGCACGCCTGGTAGCTGTCAACTAAAGGATGCTCTGAATGCCAGAGCGGGCACGGCACCAAGAGGAGGGACTGATGGGAAGTGCAAAATCGGAGCTGCTAAAATGGGAGTAAAGCCACTAATGCACATAATAAATGTTTCGGGTTACATTAAATGTGTGAGGAAACGCTGATTATGTCCTTTTAATTGTCCCAGGATGACTTTATTGACAACCTGCTGCAGCGCTCACCCTCTAGGCTGTAATTTGGTCGACATAATAAGGGCTAGACATCCATCTGTTGGATGATTACCTTCAGTTTACCAAGATAAAACTCTATTATTTCAATGAAAAGTTGTAATTATATGATTTTAAATGCAGGAATGTAGGAGTTACATTCAACCTTAAATTGGGACAGATCCCATTTACTGTTCAACTGATGGGATTCAACTTTTAAAATGCTTCAAAGACGAACAAAAAGAAATAAAGAAAAACTGCCGGCGACTGCAATCGGATGAGTTTCAAAACAGCAGAGACCAGTGATCAAGCGGTTTGAAACTGAAAAAATCTCTCTTTTTTTTTTTCTCTGGTCAGTGAACAGCTCTCCACTCGGAGGATCTCCATTCTATTTCACTGCTTTTTTGATAAGAGCCAGATTAGATCAATTTAACTTTAATATCTTAAAGATTTATCAAAACAAGAATTTCTGTAACTTCCCAGTGCCAAAAAGTTTTCATAAGCAAGATATCCATGGTGTGATGATTAGGCAAAATAAATCCCAGCATTATGAAAAGTTTAGGGAGGTTTTAAACATTATTAATTGGAATTTATGGTAACAACAATAAATGGAAATTCTTTCTCGTTGGTTTTTTTTTTTTCGACGCTGCTATCGACAAGTCCTATAAAGACACACAGAGCATGTTCTGATGTGGACTACTTATTGTGGGTTTAACTGAGGACATTTCATGATTATCACTGTACATGTTAGTCAGCTGCAGACTGACACAGAGCTTGAATCATCCATTTGGAAAACCCAAGAAAACATTAATTTAGTTTTCTAGAAATGGACAGTATAAAACAAATAGCAAAGTTTCCCCCCAGAAAACTTGCTAAACCCGGTGGTTGGATGCTAGAGCATTTATTCAAAAACACGGCCCGTCGTGTTTTCCGAGTTAACAAATGTTTAAAGTTGACAGGAAATTTGAAAATATCACTTGATAATTATGTGTTTTTGAAAGATTGGAGGATTAGCACCTGAATACCAACTATAAAACCTTAAAAAATGCAAACATTTTAAAAAGACTTGCATAAATAAGCAATGCTTAGCCTGGTGGGGGCATAAGTAATGCCAGGAGGCCCGCCAGGCTGATAATACACTGGGGGAAACCCTGAAATAGTAAAAAAAGCTTTCTTTCACCCAACGCTGGGTGTTTACAATATAAAATAATAACAGAGGTTCCATGCAATTAAACTGTCACTGCTGTCCTTCTGCATTGTCCAACTTCTTATAGGTTTGCTCACTTGCTGTCACAGGGTTTCGTGACTTAGGGGCTCCACTTTCTCCTTTTCCTCTCCATAACAAAACTACCTGACGGCGTGCGCAGCTCCGACTAAACAACAGGCAGGTGTCATGTGTCTGAGAAGAATTGATTGCGTCGCGTGTTTAAGGGAACCGGATATCAGACGCAAAGCTCGGTTACAATCAAAGCATCCAGCCGGTTCTCTTACTGGATCGCCAAATGATTTGCACAACTACACACGCCTGTCACAACCTGACATTTCTGAGAAATGCTCGTGTTGTGATAAGTTTTCTCTGAAGTTTCTTTCAGCTAAACGTTGTTCCGAAAATTTGGAGAAGACAATAAAAAAAAACAAGACGCTTTGTATGTTCTAAGAAAAGCTAGGTGAGACTGCAGACAGAAAGAGTTGCAGCAAGTCTAAAGCTGTTCCGTGAATAAACACATACTACATCCAGATGTCTTGACTGATTTCTCCAACAAATTTCAACCTTATATTCGCACTTGCAGATCCAAGCAGAGGTGCAGGGTGTGAGCATGTGTGGTTACACAGAAGCTGGCAGTGTTGTAAAGCCAAACCACTGGAACGTCCAGGCAGTGGCCGCCCCTCTGCAGACATTAATAACTGCACATGGTGTAAAACTTTGTTGTGCCATGGTCAGAGAGGGCTAAAATTACACACCAACGGGAATATGCAGGATATTGGGTTTGACATACAGACGTGAATATGACTGAAAAATTTATACAACATGTCATGAATGTGAACCTCAGGGTTACTAAAAACAAAACACGCAGGAGACAAACAGTGAAGGAAGCAAAGGAAATGTTAGATCACCTGTATTTTAGTTGTGTACAGTTAATTCGTGTTGCTTTTCCTCTTTATAAAAAAATAGTCATGCATGTCAAAAACTTGCCTTGACTTTTGTTGTTTTTCTGTGTAATCTCTTAGAAACACGTAGAACCCCATTGAAAGTAATCCTTTATCACGTTGAGGTGGGTGTATTTTATCTTTTTAATATTTCCTACTATGTCAGAAAAACTTTCATCACTATTCTGGAATTTTTAATAACACTCCGCACACCACATAATGAAATATTTAGCTAGCTTGTTTTAATTATCTGTATATTCCACATATCGTGGAAAAAAACATTATTGAAGTTGACTTCCAACATGGTAGTCTAGTAAAAGACTATTTCACTGCTTTTTTGATTAGAGCCAGATTAGATCAATTTAACTTTAATATCTTAAAGATTTATCAAAACAAAAATTTCTGTAACTTCCCAGTGCCAAAAAGCTTTCATAAGCAAGATGTCCATGGTGTGATGATTAGCCAAAATAAACATTATTTTTTTTACATTTTTATTAGTTTTTTTTAGAGAGAGTATTACTGTAATATCTGTTTTTATATACGTTACTGTCCCTTTAAGAACTTGTGAACATGCCTGTTACGCAGCTGGTTTCTGAAGGCCGGCGGGATGCAGCGGCTTTCATGAATGACTACCTCTCCATCATAGATGCTGACGCCACTTCAGAGTTATTGTATGAAGCTGTATGTGATTTCTACATTTAGAAAAAAGATTCATGGTTCATATCCTTGTCCCCTAACTAAATGCGGGACGATAAACTGTTTTAAAACACCGAAAGCCTCGCCCTCGCGGTTCGCTACTTCACTCAAGCTAGCAGACAGCTAGCAGGATGTGTCAAATGTTAACCTTCAAAATAAAAGCTTTTTGGTTGTAATGGCGTACTTTCAAAAGTGCACTTCAACTTGGGGATTTTATTTTGCAAGAATCGGTCATTTGTTCAGTTGTTTAAATACATGACTTGACGTAGGCGCCTTTTCTCTACGTCGTACTCCTCAAACTAGCCCAAACTGGCTGGCCCCGGGCGCATCAGCAGCGGTGGCTACAGAGCAGGCTCAAGTCGAGGCGTTACGGAACACAAACAGACACAAATACCGCAAAAGTGAAACCAGAAATCAAAGCCAATTTGTAGAATAAACGAATTTGGCTAGTTTTGTCTGTGACCGCCCCACACCCGCGCACCCTGAATGACGAGCAGCAGCCAGGCCAGAGATTCACAACACACCCGCTGAAAATGTAATAGATTAGCACACTGCGGGGTCTCATACCTCCTCCTCCCGTTCATTCTTGAAGCACAGACACGCCGCTCTTTTCTTAAAACCCTCTCCGTCGTACGTCCTGGTCTGGTTCGGTTTCAGCTTCATTATCGTGGATTCCAGATTTCCTCTGCCCTTCTTGAAGATAGCAACCAGCAAAAAACAAGCTTCAGCTCAGTTTGTGTCCAAAGAGTTAAGAGCGGTGCCAACGCATCGCCGCTTGCCTTTGCATCCAAGGTCCGAGATTATCTGTCATCAGCTGGGTGACGAGGTATATGTAAGAGATGTCCCAGTCGTACAACCCTGTGATTCAGCTTACCTCCAAACTCCCGTCAAAAAAATGAAAAAGCACAATGAGCTCAAGCCAGCGGTAAATGTGTAAGTTCCCACAGGGACAGATCTTATGAAGACTACACCTCCTCAGCCCTCCTCTGGATCCATACATGCAGGGGTTCTGAGGAGGCGAGGAGCTCATTGGCTGAGCGCCTGTCAGTGGGCGGAGCTACGCTGCTGCTCAAAACAATGCTGACATGTTCTAGCAGTGCAGCAGGAGCAGGTCACATGATGACCTGTGGCTGACAGTGTGTGCAGTCCCCGATGGGGACAAAAAAAAAGGTCTTACGACACATTTAGGAGTTTTTCCTTTTTGTATTTCTAATTAAAAGCTGATGTTGCTCATTTACATTCTACTTTCTGTGTGTAAATGATCTATTGTTCCAGCATGGATGTATAAACAATGTTTACAACAGAAAGTAAAGGGGATGAATAAAAACACACTGTTAGGAATGTTTTACTGGTAAAAGCTTTTGCTTCACAGTTCACTTCACTTTGTATTGGTCCAACACATAAAATCCAAACAAATAACACTGAAGTGATTGGTTGTAACATAAAAAATGTGGGGGAAAAAAAATTAAGGGTTATTGTTACTTTTGTAATATTCTGGTTTAAAATACTTGTTTGTTTTTTGTTTGTCTAAGAGTTACACCATATGCTGTAATTATGCAGCATATGGAACATAATCAGCCCCGGCAAAAGTGTTATATAAAACAGAGTGCTCCTGTTGATGTCAGTGACAAGCATACCTCATAAAACAAAAATAGATCAGTATTTATGAAGCTGACGGCTTTACGATGAACCAAACCGTAGCTAGGATACTTTGAAAACATCTTAAAAAAACTTATTTAGATGTCATGAGATTAAGTCATTAAAAACATATGAAAGAGGGGGAGAAAACTTTTTTTTTCTTTTTTTACCAATTATTTTTTCCTAAACAAGTGATTTATAAAGTAAAGTCTACAAAAACTATCACTTTTGTGTTTGGATAATTTAGATGACTGTGCAGAAATAAATATTCCCCAACAGCTTTAGTTTTGACGTCAGGGATAACAATTGCACTTTGGCTTCTGTGAAAACAAATCCTTATATTGGTAGAAGTCTGGCTGCAGCTTGATTGAATCAGACATAATGCTCAGTCCTGGATTTTCCAGCCCTGGATTAAAAAAATTTGCAAAGCATCTGCAAAAAAAAAAAAAGGCAGATCAAACGACTGTCAGTCACTACCAAACCTCCACTTAAAGTCCAGCCTCATTTATTTACTACAAATCACTATGTCTGTTTTACTGCAGTTTTATCATTTCACTTCTGCAAGTTCCACTTTTCAGGTTCTACTTTTTCATAATCGTCCACACCAATCTGGGGTTTTGATTTATATTACATTTTCATACTTGGTCACTTACGTGTAAAGCCAAGTCTGATGTATTGGGAAACAAATCAGTGACTCCCTCCTTCCATTGTTTTCCATGTCTTTAACTTTGGTCACTTTTGGACCTTTTAATGACGTGTTGTTCTTTTTAACTAAAGCAGATCCAAAAGGGGGAAGAAGTGTTTGCTCAATCATTTAAGCTGATGGTCCAAAGTTCTACGACGTTTGTAAAAAAAAAAAAAAGAAAGAAAAAAAAAGAAAAGAAAACTGTGGGTCTCTGTTGCAAAACTGTGTTTTGCGCCACTCCCACTGTATTTCAAGTCAAACTCATAAAATGTTACACTATAAACAGGTGGAGTTAAAACAAAAAAAAAACTGCTAATGCACAGTGAAAAGCCATAACTTATCAGCTGACGCTGTTAGCCAGATCTCATTTGTAACCGGAGCAGATAATCAAATTGCAGAGCGTATGTGACGGCACAATAAAAATCAAAGACAAATCTTTCACACAGTTCTGCAGCCGGCTCCTTCACTTGTAAATTATATATGAGTGATGAAACCATGGTAATTAATAAGGTCAAATCAATGCAGGCTCCCTTTACTTAACCAAGGGACGCGATTATTAAAAGCAATCAAGTGAAATTTGATCTTTCTTGAAGCTAAATGTAGCTGAAAATTATTCAAAGAATCACATTAAAATGAGGTCAGTATAAATGGAAATCTGGCTGATTCTCCCAGAAAAATAAAAATAATTCATCATTTGGATTTCCACCACCATAGGGATCAAATATGAATACGATGAATACGAGAGTTATTACTGTTTTTTTCTTCTTCTTCTAAATAAATGTACTCAAATTAAAGGTTGGATTTCTAGAAACGAGTGAAGCATGTGTTTTAAGGTTTTGAGCAATAAAGCGTCCAGGCCTTGTAAAGGGAACCCTTTACACTAAAACCTGATACATAGGGTTAGAAACTCAGCGGAAGTGGTTTTGGGATTGCAGAACCGACTGATGAGCTCATCGCAAGATGTCATATAGGACCAACTCTAAATGACTAAAATAAAATCCCCCCCCCCCTTTTTATTTCACTTGTACGCACAAAACATGGATGCAAAATAAAAAATAAAAAAATAAAAATCCAGTTTTGCTGAGAGATACATATTGCTTCCACGCTGGTGTAATCGCTAAAAGTATACTGGGAGCTCGTTTTGTACTGTGACGTGAGGGAGACTTGATGGAAAAAAACTTTACCACCGAGAGGGGAAAATTTAGAATAATGCCGTATAAACATCGCAATGCGATTTATACTACGCGCGCCGTCAGAGACTAAAATTAGAATCTAACCTGCTGAAGTCAATCCTATCCGCAAATATAGCAACAGATGGCATAATCTGATAAACATCCGCCTGCGGGGGAAATAAAGCTGTCATCATATACTTAGATCATCTTATCACCATCCTCCCGCATGGCAAAGGAGAGCAGCAAGGAGTTCCTCTTTTAACCGAGGTATTAGACGGAAGGGGGAAGAGTGGAGGGTCCGGTTTCCTCAAACTGTTTCGACAGATGGAGAGGGGGGTGGGGGGGGGTGAACGTCAGCCTTGACTTTGTCACTGCCGTCAGACGACGTCTGCTGTCTGACAAACGCCAAACATCACAGACCCCTCCGCACAAAGAGCACGAAACGCACACACAGATGTTCGAGCTCCCACACTTAAAGAGTCTAATCCCCTTGTTCGTTCGCCCGTGATCAACTCTGAGTAGTAAAATCCTGAGCTGATTAGCTGAGCCATAAGTCTCTTCTTTGACCTCATCACCGAGCAGGAGCCATGTGAGGGCATCACCCGCCGACGTAAATTACTCAAAAAATAATAATTGAACACCTCCTAACTCTTAAGTTCTTGGACGCTGGGCAAGCTTTAAATATTAATCCGATCTCTGCTCTCACATCGACACTTCGGTTGGCAAACTCGTCCTTCTCCACAAATTTTCAGCTACAACCAAAGTTGGACCATCTGGCATTGGGAAACTGGACGGATGTTCTCGGGAGGAGGGTGAAACTCAGCCGGCGATGAAGTGGCCTGTCACGGCTGCCGAAATAGACCTGACTCGTCAGATGTTGGACACAGATGGTGCGTCTTCTTTTAAATGGATTATGACTCGAGTAAAGGTGTTTCCCCCCCGCTAAACCAGCAGCCGAGAACCGAGAGCATCCCGTCATTTCTGACAACTGATAAATCACTGATAAATTTTTTTGGTCTCCACCACCTTCTGAAGATCCTCTGGGGGTTTATTAAGTGGCGTGAGAGTAAAAGAGGGCTGCTTTAAAAAGCACGCATCCCCTTTTGGTTTGATTTATTACATGAAATCCTTGCACAACACTCTGAAAATGTGACAACATATGAAGCTGCTGGTGGTGGATCACTGATAATAATGTGTTTGTGAGGTTTGATGGGCACATTGGCCTCTTGTTGCCACATACTGAGATATATCATAATGATAGCTGTGGATAATCCTGGCTCAGTGGGAAGAAACATTACTGTAGATGAATTTCTCAGAGTGAACAGAGCATGTGTTTTGTTTCTGGACAGCAGATTAGCTTAATTAGGCGTTATATATATATATATATATATATAAAGAATATATGACATCTTGTAGATAAAGCTTTTTGGGGGGGAAGGAGAACTGTGTAATGCCCTTGTTAGCTGCTGATAAAAATGATGCCTTTGTCTGTTTGAGAACAAAAACACTGGCACTGTGTAATCATGGGAAGGTTGAGATTTAAGGAGCATTAACAAAGCCAGACAGTGTGATCGGGTGTGGGAAAGTTGTCTGAAACAAACCCACACAGCAGCGATGATGATGATGATGATGATGATGATGATGATGATGATGATGATGATGATGATGATGATGATGACATTCAGGTCTTTTAATTGAGATTCTCCATGCTCTACTTTTAGGCCATGTAGTTCGAGGTTTTTAAACAATAAACTAATGACAATTAAAGAAACATCTTTGGTCTCCAGTGTCTCTGAAATATTTATTTCATTGCGTCACGTTTTTGTAAAATGATGTTTTCCGCTTTTCTGCTCTTAGAATACAAGTAATGTCACAAACTCAATTGAAAACCCACTAAACCTGCTCTACCATGTGGGCAAAAAAATTTGTCCCACGTGAGGATCTGCGACCTTTCCTGCAGCTTAAGTTAAAAATGTAACTTAACGTCCAAATAAATAAAAACATTTAAGAAATGCAGTATTTTTAATATTTTCTAATCGGCTTTACTTTTCCGATCTCATTAAGCTCTGCACCTTACTTTTTGCCATATTGTTTGTTTTTTTTGTTTGTTTTTTTTGCATTGAGTCAAGCAAAACTACATTTCCACGACGAGCTCATACTCTCAGTTTAAAGTGTCAAAGGTCAACAGAGTTGAAAAAGCGAGTTTAAAAAGTTAAGGGCTTTCCAACCGAATAGGCGAGGATACCTTAAACACATCTTGTCACTAAATAGTTGGAGAAAAAAAACAAAAAAAAAAACACAAGTAACATGTGTTGAGTGCAAATAAAGGTCTTCTGGTGACACACACACAAAAACCTAGAATCAAGCTTTGGATGTGTGTCATGATGTGCCAACAAACTCTTAGCTAAAATTAGTGGCAGTAATGAGTGACCTGACAGGTCTTGTTTTGCCCTCGCAGGTGCAAAGGCGGGAAAACAGAGCCAGCAGCTGGCAGTTCACGTGAAA